CAATTATAAGATGAAAATTTATTGGTAGGAACAAACACACCATGAATTTATATATTAGAAAATAGTATTATACCATGCAAAATAAGAGTATTCATAGATGGAGCTCAAATTAAGTATATTACAAATAACAATAAAATGGTAGATCAAATAAAATTTATAGTTCATGATGTGATTTAGTCATTGTCATAAAATTTGATATTAACTAATGGTAGGTGTATAGATCAGTCTAACCTGTTTAATGTCCAACTTGCAAAATTCGTAATTTTAACAGATCAGATAAAATTGACTTGCAAAATTAATAATTTAAAAACATTGTTAAGTCTTAGTATTAAATAGGCTAGCCTACATGCTCTACATATTAAGGATGTGAAGTTTGCACTACAAAAAAATCATTTTGAGGCCATATCTTTTTTTTTTATTATTATTATTATTTAGGTCTCTACAGTTTTTAGTGACCCAAAAAAAAAAAGTCACCTTATATAACTATAGTCGGTAACAACTTAAATTGGGTCACTACCAATTGTAACAACCTTTACTTCATGGCTCTCATGACGTATAATAAAAAAAAAAGTCACGTGTTATATAAGTCGTAATGATCCATAGTAATTTAATAGTAAACAACCTTAAAGGTGTAAATAGTTTTAAAATAATTATATTTAAATAATTAATTTTTTAAATAAGTCCACAATGATCGATTAATCTTAATATTTGATTTTATCATCTTTTAGATAAACATTAAAACTAAATTATACTTTTATCTTTTTTATAATATTTAATTTGTAATTTAATTTTCTAATTTTTTTATTAAATATTATAATCGACAGAGATAATGTATCAAGTTTCGAATAATATACATTCCTCATATATATATATATATATATATATATATATATATATGATGTGCAAAAACAATCATCTTATATTTTAATTCTAATATTGATCGAGACAAATATATACTAAAATTTATAATCTATACTAATATATAAAGGATACCCTATCAGTAACCACTTTGGTCTCCACTTTTTTGGACCATTATACTCTTTTATTTTAAAAAATTAGAAGAAAAAAAATATTTTTTAATCTATACTAATATATAAAGAGGATACCCTTTTTGGTAACCACCTTGGTCTCCACTTTTTTGACCATTATACCATTTTATTTTAAAAAATTAGAAGAAAAAAAATATTTTTTAATCTATACTAATATATAAAAGGGATACCCTTTTTGGTAACCACCTTGATCTCTACTTTTTTTACCATTATACTCTTTTATTTTAAAAATTAGAAAAAAATATTTTTTAATCAAATTTAAGAACTTGAAACTAATGAATCTATATTAATTGATATATAAAGGGGATACCACTTTTAATAATTACTTTTACTTTTTATTTTTACATGGACCATGTTATTCTGTGTTTATTTTTTAATAACTACTTTTTTTATGAGTAACTTTTTATTTTTTTCTTTTTTATTTATTTTTTCTTTTAATACAATGGAGGCACAAAATGTCTCTTTTCTGCTAGTTTATACTAATATATAAAGGGGATACCACTTTTAATAATTATTTTTTATTCCCATTTTTATATGGACCATTTTATCTTTAGTTTATTTTTCAATAACTACCTTTTTTATGATTAACTTCTCATTCTTTTTTTTATTTATTTTTTTAATACAATGCAGGCACGAAGTACCTTTTTTCTACTAGTATATAATAAAAGGGATTATCTCATATATATATTTTTAGACTATTCTATCTTTAAATTTTTAAATAATAAAAATAATATTAAAAATTAATTATTCTTTAAAAGATAAGAATTGAATTCAAAACTTTTGTTTGAAAATTAAATATAATACCAATTGATTTATCAAATATTAATAATTTTTAAATATTTTTATTAAATAAAATATAAAGATACAAAAATGTGTTAATCCTAAATATATATTATAGATAGGAGTCTCACTTCCTTCCTAGATTATTTAAAGTCTCACTATTTATGGCTTTCAACAATTAAGGTAATTAAAATAAAAATATGTTCGGATTTCATTATGGCATGAGCAACGAGGAGGGGGGGCAAATCGACAGATTTGAACTACAATGGATTCATAAGACCCATTCTCACGTGTGCAAGCCCACCACCCATTACTTACCTCTTTGAAAGTGTAAGGAGCACTTTAATATATAAAATCTCTACATTTGAATGAACCAAGCAACGTGAGACTATTTTCTTTTGAAATATATATATATATATATATATATATATATATAACAGGTGCCTGTTTAATTATTTTACACATGACATGCCATGCATTTATGATCCCCTACAAGGGATTTATTTCCAAAAGTAGTCCTGCAAGACCACGGTCCACGACGACTATACCCATAACCAACCCTCATAAGGGACCTCCCATTCACATGGTTCTGCTTCCTTAAAATCAATGCTATTAATTTTTGCCTCTAAAATTCAATTCACTCTAAAACACACATAATATGATCGTCAAGAAATCTTCCTTTCGTTAGGATTCTAATTCTCATATTGGTCAAAGTAAAACCAAAAATAATACTTCACCTAACCAATGGTTTTATTTTGTTTATATAGCACACCAAGAGACATAATATCAAGTGCAATATAAATTATATATATAGAGGAAGAATCAGAATAAGTTTATCTAAACTTCGTTCAATAATTTATGTTTTATATCAAATTTTGATGATTTAATTATTAATTTTTTTTAAAAAAGTTAAAAATTATTTAATATTTTGTTTCATTAATTTAAATTAATGGATAACATTTTTAAATTATGTGATTTATTTTTATTTATATTCAATTTAAAATTATAATAATTAATGAAATTAACCTTTTATTATGTTGTTACAATTTTCTATATTAACGTGTTAATATTATATAATAATAATAATAATTTTAATCTTAATTTTATACAATATATTGAATATTTTAATGAGACGTTTTAGGAAAAAATACTATAGAAGATTTATGCTTAATATACATGAAAATATTTTTATTTTTTAACATAAATTTTGTAGAAAATATGTTTCAAATTAATATTTGTTATTTTTTGTAATTTTTTAAATTATTTTTATTTTAAATTAATATTTAGTATTTTATTCATGAATTAAATTACTTGTATTGTAAATATAATTTAGGAGAATAACATGATTTAACAAATATATTTTACGAAATTAATTTGATTGATGAATTTTTCAGTCAAATATTTCTATAATTATTTTTATTTAATTTTATTAATTTATTTTGTCCAATTATCATTTACATTATAATTTTTTTATTAATTATAGAGATAAAACCTATGAAGTTTTTATTAATTATTGTGGTATTGATAATTTGATATATTTATTTACTTTTAATTATTTTTAATATTAGTTTATTTTATAATAAAATTTACATATAATTATATAGATGAAAAATGTAGAAGAAGATTTGAAGGAAAGAATGAAGGTTTTAATTTTTTTTTCCTTTTATATTATTAATAGATATAGTTAGATAAAGATCTAATTAGGAAGAAATTCATTTTTATTATATGAGTAAGTTGCACTGATAATCTGACACTCCCTTATTCTTCATCAAATGTCTTTTTATCTTTCTCATTTTTTCAATTCTTATACTAACTCTTCATAATTATTTTAAAAAAACGTTTCCATAGAACTCTATACATTATACTACCACCCTTCTATTATTTAAATAGTTTTACGCCCTATAACTTTATAAAAAAATTTGTTGTAAATATTAAAAAATACAAAGTCATGCAATCTCAACAAATCATAATCATCCATATAATTTACTCCAAAGGGATAATTTTTTAGGTATCATATACCATGTTTTTATTTTAAACACTTCTTATATTATTAAAAAATATTAAATTATCAAGTAAATTTATTTAGACTTATTTTATTTAATAATTCATATTTTATATTAAATTTTAATAATTTAACTTTTTCAATTTAAAGTTTCTAATGCATAAATTAAATTTATAAATATTTTAAAAGTTTAAAAATTATTTAATATTTTTTTATTAATTTAAATAGATAGATAATCATAAACATGACTAGGTTTGTTGGCTTTTAAACAAGTCCTAAATTTAAGTTTGGAAATGGGTTTGGTGAGAGAGTAGATGACGATGGTATGGGAGGCTCTAAAGACAAACCACTTTGGCCACTAGTTTTGTCCTATATTCGGACAGTTGATGTTGATGGTGTCATTGGTTCAGAGGAAGGTGTTGGAGTTAAGGAATACAGGAGATGTTTGGGATACAAACTAAACTGCACATTATTAATAATAAGATGAAAAATAAGGGTTTATAAAGGCACACATACTTTATTAGTAAGAGACCTTTTGGATGTTAACCAAAAATAAAATTATGAAAATGTAAATTCAAAATAAATAATATCATATCAATATAAAGATGAATGTGAAATATATATTTGATATGTAAAACAACACAAAAATAATAATTCTTCTTGAAAAATAATATATATATATATATATA